CTGGACTTCAACTCCCAGAATTCCCCAGCCAGCTAATGCTGGCTGGGGAATTCTGGGAGTTGAAGTCCAGACATCTTTAAGTTGCCCAAGGTTGAGAAACACTGATCTAAGAGAATTGGCTGCTTTTCCTAAAAATGGTAAGGCACAAAGCTGATAAATAATTGCACCACAGACAAGACCCAAAGGTTCTGAGAAATAGTAAACCTTAGGTTTTAATCGCTTATGTTTCTTGTTTCCTTAATTCGATACATTTTTCAAATACTATGTTTCTGAAACTTCTGCAACAAATCACGTATGGCTGAATTGTTATTGTTTGTAAACCATTTCATAGCAGCAAAATGCTTCATTTCCAGGCGGATGTTGCCCCCAAAACCCTTGAGATGGAATATAATAGAATAACAGAGTTGGAAGGGGCCTTGGAGGTCATCTAATCCAGCCCCCAGCTCAAGCAGGAGACCCTACACCATTTAGGTGACCTGAATCAAAAATTCAGCACAGCAGAGGGGGGAAAAAACAAGCAAGTTCTTGAAAAAGTGTTAAGAACATGCTGTTTTGTTTTCCCAGTTGGATGAAAATGCCTTCCTTGTTTCTCCCTCTTAGTAACTCTGATATTGATCCCTTTAATGTCCAAGAGTGCTCGGTGGTTCAATAGTGCTGTCAAAGATGCAGATGAAACAAGACTATCGATCGACTGAGAAGAAGGGACAACAAGCCCTTCACAGAAACCACCAACAAATTGCCACCACTTATCTAAGGGGAGGAGGTCGAGCAAAGCCTGAGATTCAGCCTGCTGGAAGCACCACCAGAAACCGTGCGGTCTTCTTCTCTGGCGACATCAGGCAGAGAGAGGCCAGGACAACCCAACTGCAGATCCTGATGAGATCCGGAAGAGAACTGACTGGTTCACCAGCAGCCCGCTTCTCCCTTGAGTGGGACCAAGTCGAGATTCCCGTTTAGCCAGAACGGTCTTGGCTCGCCGGGATTATTTTAAAGTTTGCTATTCTGCTGAAACTGGGAGACCAAGGACAGAAGCTGCTCGGAGGCTTTGATTTGCTTCGTTCCAAGGTAGGTGGCGCTGTTGGCCATCGTGTCCTCCAAGAAGTAGCGGTAGTTGGCCATCATGCCGCAGGAGGCCGTCAAGCCGCGGGGACTGGCGTCGGCCATCCAGTTCAGGCGCCACAGCACCGCCCCGTTCTGTAAGTGGAAATTGGCCACCGGGTTGAGCGCGTAGCCGCGGTGCTTCTCTCCGTAGAGGTACCAGGCGCAAAGCCTCAGGAGGGGCTGCTGTAAGACCCGAGCCAGCTTTTCAGACTTCACCCACCCGTTGTTTGTGAAAAGGCGCTTCAGTTTCTCAGCCGCGGGGTCTCCCGTGATCTCCGAAATTTCTTGCATCTCCAGATCCGTGAAAGGGTTTCCCCGGCCCAGTTCGTTGGATTGTGAGCACAGCAGACCAATCAGCCATTTGGTGAACCCCGGGATGGGAGACAAGGTGGAGAAAGCTTTGATTTGAGGAAATTCATCCTGCGGATTTTCAAATTTGTTCCGAAACAAAACAAAAAGACAGATTTTTGGGTACAGCTAAATGAGGATGGAAAAAAATAAATCACAACAAGGTCGAACATTTAAAGCAGGAAGCACAAACAGGTTTGAGATGCGGCTATTTTCATCAGCAGGTTATTGTTTGTGTGTGTTTCATAACTTCGTTTACTGCAGAAGTAAAACATTTCAGCTTAGGGTTTCTTCATTCCTGCCTAATAAAATGCCATCTGCCCAAATACTTATACTCGCAATTTGAGAAGCAGTAAAACTACCTACAAGGCATCTCTAAAAGCTTTGATTAGCCATTTTCTCATGGATACTGGATGTACTTTCAAGGATTTTTAATTTTTCTTGGGCCCTGGGAAATCTGTAGAGACTCTGATTTTTTGTTCAGTAGGTTAAAAACTTCCCCCTCCCATTTCTAGCCCTTCAAATTTAACAACTGAGCAGCTGAACAGCTGTAACACTCGGTTACCTTTCCAAGAAACAGATGTTCTCTTTATTTTGCCCCTATATTTCTTAAAATTTAGGAAACACATTTCCTAATATGGGTTTTGCATCTGAGGAACCCAAATCTATTTTGCCTCCAGTGTTAACTACCGTATTTTTCAGAGTATAAGACGCACCACGATTTTGAAGAGGCAAATTTAAAAAGTGTTTGCACTCTGCAGACCTTCTAAAAACGGCCCCCTTTTCGCGAAAACGGGCCGTTTTTTGTCCCAAAAAAGGGCATGCCTACCCTTTAGGCAGCTTATAGAGTGCTCCTGGAGGTTTGGGAGGGCCAGAAATCGGCCCGTTTTTCATTCATTTTTGTCCTCCCCAGCCCCCAGGAGCACTCTATAAGCCTCCTAAAGGCTATGCACGACCACTTTGGAGAAGGGGGCGGAGTTTCAGGAGGCCAAAAATGCTGTATTTAGTGTATAAGATACACCCAGATTTTCAGCCTCCTTTTTGAGGGAAAAAGATGCGTCTTATACGCCGAANTTGTTGTTGTTGTTGTTGTTGTTGTTGTTATTAATATTAATCATAATAATAATATACTTGATGAGACTCTACAGACTCTTAATAAAGATACTGGAAAGTTCCCAAATGTTATCCTAGTTGGGTAGAGAGATGAACTTAAAATCTATTTATTTAGGTGACTGAGAAGGTAGAAAGAAGCTGAAGAGACTCAGATTTGTTACTGTCCATCTTATCTTTAATTCTGTTGCTGGCCTATAATCCCTTCAGAGTAGAAGCATTCTGTATGTGTGTTGGGAGTGTTCCTGAAAGCAAGAATATAACCTGAATAAGGATTAGTGAAGTAGGTTTAATGCTAACAGGAAAGAGATATATTTACAGGAAATGCATGATAAGGATAGGCAAGGCCTAGCACCCAGCTAGCTGCATCCTATTAAGAGGAGGAGCCAACTACATCTCCTCTATGTACCCAGGAGAAGGAGAAAAGGAAGAGACTTCAGATGATCACAGCACTAACGGCTCAGTGATTAGAATGCAGTATTGCAGGCAAACTCTACCCGCAGTCTGGAGTTCGAACCTGACGGAGCTCAATGTTGACTTAGCCTTCCATCTTTCTGAGGTGGGTAAAATAAGGATCCTGATTGTTCGGGGCAATAGGTTGACTCTGTAAACCACTTAGAGAGGGCTGTAAAGGAGTGTGAAGCAGCATATACATCTAAGTGCTAGTGCTATTAGATAAAGAGTGGGTAGAGTGATAAATACATTTTAAACTCTCTATCCAGACCCTACTGGCTGTTTGGGGATAAGTTATGAGATGATGAAGAATCGGTACCACTGGATTTGGCTTCCCAACAATAGGAATATATCATGGTGCCTCTGAGACTAAAATTCGGCAAGAAGAATCTTTTCAGAAGGTGCGAGCAGCTTTTAGTTATCAAAATTTCACTGAGGTTCTGGAAGGGACAAACTCTGCATTTCTCTTTTACTATGGTAGTGTGTGTGTGTCTGTGTGTCTGTGTGTCTGTGTCTTCTGCCCTCGTGCATTCACCTCCACTCTGCACGCATGAGAGAAGACAAGAAGTTTCAAAGACAAGTCAAGAGTATGGAAAGATGCCAGTTGACCAAGCCCTGAGGCAGATACTTCATTAGCAGAGATTACTTCAGACTCTGCAGGAGGGTGGAATAATTCAGGCCAGGCTGCCCACTTTTCCACCACTAGCCTGGCTCTTAACAAGCTGGAGCACTCAGAATGGGGGGAGGGAACTGATTCAGATTCTCCTCAGGCCGTACGAGGATAACAACTTGTAATAAGGAGGTTTGGAGTTCTGGATAGATGAGATCCAGTGTGAAATAGCAGATTAAGATGTTTTAAAGTTTCCAATTTGTTTCCTTCTGAGCTACTGTAGCTTAGACCAGTTTGGAGCCATATCCTGTTTAAGGAACCACCCCTACTAGTTTACTTCATTCCACCAGGCTTCTGGCACTAGATTGTGTATGAACAAATCAGGGGTGGGATTCTACTGGTTCAGGCCGGTTCAGGTGAACCAGTAGCTCTGACTATCAGCTGGGAGCGAACCGGTTTGCTCCAACTTTTTTTAAATTGCAATTTTTAAAAAATATTTTATGAACAAAGTTCATAATGAGCACATTCAAAGTTCATATGAACAATTTTTTTTCTTGTACATCCTCTCATATACATAATCCATTTTCCATCATATCTCTGTTTCCAATTTCAGCCATATTGTTTTCTTTCCATATTTTTTTATCTTAAACTTATTTTCTTCTTAATACATAAACAATATCACTAATAATCCCGGTTCCAGTGGGGGGTTCCTACCAGTTTGGCTGAAATAATAGTGGTTTGGTGGCCTGGGTCGCTAGAACTGGCAGCGACCCAGGCCTGCCACGCCCCTGAACCGGTTTTCCGGGCGGTGCCGTAGATGCCACCATCTTATGTTTTGCTTCTGTGCATGCGCAGAACAATTTTTATTGCACTGTGCATGCATGCACAGCACGCATCATGAGCGCCCACAAGCAAACCGGCAGTAATGCCTGCTGGAACCCACCCCTGCCTGATTTGCTCTGACTTTGAAGTGCCCCCCCACACTTATATTTCCTTTTCTGAAGCCCAGCTGATCGGGTGGATTGCCGCGCCAGCAGTAATGCGGAAGTGCGCACTCAGTGAACCAGTTGTTAAACTGGTAGGATCCCACCTCTGTAACAAATTAAATATAACAACTATTGTTATATTGAATTTGTGACTGTGGCCACAAATGAGACCTCCCTTTGTACAGAGCAGTGGTGGGTTTCAAAAAATGTTCGAACCTACTCTGTGGGTGTGACCTCCTTTGTGGGAGTGGCTTGCCG